CCTTGCGGCCTACCCATCCACACTTCTCCAAACTGGCCGTTGCCCAGCTTTTTAATCAGCTGCAGCGATTCGCGGGGAATCTCCCACATGTCCTTGGTCTTCACCGATAAGTCGGCCAGCTTGGGCATGCCGCGCTTGCAGCTGCCGATCAGGCGGCAGCAGAGCCCCGCCGCTCGCTCTGAGCCGGGGCAGGGAATGGGATAAACAGACAGGAAGTAGGGAAAAAAAAAACATATGAAGGGAAAAGGAAGCAAAACATGTTTGCTTGGTCATCCGCCCCCTTTCCCCCCCCATCCAAAAAAAAAATCACCTTTGCACACATGAACGTCACTAAAAGTCAAAGTTTGACCTCAGGAGGAACAAACAGACAACAATGAGAGCAACAATCGAAGGAATGTGGACTAAAATCCTCATTAAACAATTCCAAAAAAGTTGCAAGTTGTACCTGTGTAGTGCACCACAAGCTGCTGCACGGTGTCAAACTGAGACCTGGTGGTGATGTAATAGCCTCCGTTGTCCAGCTTGCGGATCTTATAGTGCTTCACGTGGTCACCTTTGTTCTCGTCCCAGTCGCGGATGGACAGCGAAAAAGCACCTAGGACGCAAAAAAGACACCATGTCTAATTCAACAGGTTTATTTGTATACAAAATATCAAATGTAATTTTAAAAATATCTAGAATATAGAGACTAAGTCTGTTCACATAAGCTGTATTTTATATGGTTCTTAATTGTGTTTTGTTATATTTGTGATTATTTATTTAGTTTCAGATTAAGACTGAGTTTTATATATACATTCTGCCGTATTTTTATTATTCTTTAACACACGTACAATGCATATCTAGAATAAAAATAGAACGAAAACTACAGTATCAATCCAGTAAAAAAAAAACAACTATTGCATCAGCATGCACGTGTCGTGATGCATGGAAAGCGGTACCTGGGCTACATGCGTAACACACGGCTGTCTTTTAGGGACAAATAAGACACACAAAGTCAATGCGGTAATTTGATTACTTAAAGTTTATATATATATATATATATATATATGAGCGACCAACGTGTACCTCAAAATTCTAACTGACTTTATATGATTTTTTTTTCCTCCCTCACCGAAAAGTGGAAAAAAAAACCCCAAACAAACAAACAAACAACCTTGGATAAAACACTTGAACTTGACAATTATTGTTGTGACTTTCATCTTATTTTAGCAGTAACTGCCCTGATAATAATTACACAATGGTTAGCAATCAAAATCAAATCAAATTTTAACCTGTTGCCAAATTTTTTGCCCCCGCCAATGTAGCTAGTAAATAACGCAAACATTAGAAGCAAGTCGAGAAAGATCTGCAGGTGTATGTGCTCCCGTCGAGAGCAAGTGTGTACGTGCGTGTGGTCACCCAACCTTTGGTGGTCTCGCTCTCGCGGATGAGAAAAGTTCCTCTCTGGTTGCCGTGTCCCAGCAGCTGTCTCTCCGCATCCTTCCTCCCCATCTTTCCGAAATACCACCTGTCGCCAAAAGCAACATCCGGTCACACACGGTCACTAAACCCCACCTCATCCTTGTGTGCTTGCGTACTCACTCCTCGGCCTGTATGGAGTCGACCGGAGCTACGTAATTGGACGGGATGTACCCGGCATTGCCCGTGTCCAAAGAACGAGCCTCCCACCAGTCACCCTCTCTGTAATCAACACCAGCAAATCATAAATTGATTATGTCCTCCATTAATGACCTATCGGGCGGCCGATTTGCGATCTTGCAAGTACTTTGTTTTGGTCA